CAAAACACCATTTTATACATTAAAATAAGTGATTCCTGTGTTGTCGTCAATCCATGCAATAATCAAATCACTTGATTTCATACCACCATTGGGTGAAAGACCGAAACCAATCCAACCTCTGGTCTGGACTTCACATAAGAAAGTAATGCTTTGATTGTTTGAATCGACTTTCCATTTAAGGCTATATTTCTCGTGTGGATCTAACCATAAGTGATAGTTCCAGTCATTTGGATCAATAGATGACACAAATGAAAGGTAACTATTAAAAAACAAACATAAAACCAAATAGTTCAACATTTTTTGAGTTAAATTAAATACTACTTAAAATAAATCAAATATTGGTCAATTTTATTATATAACACATTTTCAAAATATTTTTTATAAATTAGAGATTTTCACGTCTCAAGTAATAGCTGATAAGAGATTGACTCAAATGTTGTGATACAGTAATTCAGTCTAAACTTAAAGTTTTGGTTTATTTTACAAAAATTCTTATAATAACAAACATTGAATTTGATAAGAATTTAAATACATTTTGCGATATACTTAAAGACACTAGTCATTCATTTTGTCTATCTATTTATTTAACTATAAACATTATATTAGCACATAAAATATGTAAGTCATAAAAATTACTTATAATTTTTAAAAATGATAGAATCTAGTGATCTTTAGTGAGTCAATGCAATATATAAAATTAATTATAACTTTCGATAATAGTTATCATGATTTTATGTACATTTTTTAAAAATCGGTTCAGTTTTGACATCTTTTCAAAATGAATTAATATTGTATTTGTTTTGAAATAACTGAACACAAGAATCAAACCAATCTATTTCGGGGAGGATTTTCAAACCGATGTCTGTGTCGGTACACCAAAAATGTGGCGATGGATAGGGCTATTAAGACGGATATAATTGATATAAAACTAACAATAATAGAGTGCTTTGTATAGACATCGACATAGCATTGCATATCTTCTAATGGTTTATAAACTTGTTTAATATAAGGATAGCCAACGAGTCCTTCATATTCATTGCCAGTCTTAAGCC